GCTGTGTAACAATTTTATCAATGAGAAATCGATTTGCTGATCCATAGATTGCATTTAATACGACACGCCTTATTATCTGGGTTGTTAGTCATGATCCGATCCTATTTGCAATCAATGGAGATTAACATAAACTGCGCCGTCGCTGGATGCAGCTTCGATGCAGTCCCGATCCTGACCTCGCCACTAAACGTGCACTTAAAATTTAAATTTATTGATTTTGCTCCAGATTTTATCATCAGTAAAAGACAATACTGTAACTATCTACGTGTACACGAGCACGCTTTGCTATCTTTATGGTGACCTTTCCTTGTTTTCGACAAGTCTTACAAGCCCTAAGTTGGCCTTAAACGGTTCACAGCTTCGTAGGGCCTTTGTTTATAAATAGTCTGAGGTTTTCCATCGATTACTTTAAGGTTCATACCATAAACGAGCTGGCAAGGTCATGGTAGCGCACCAGTTGGTACCACGCAAATTTCTTTGCTCTTTATACTGCTATTGTGTCCCTTTGGAGAAATCGATGAAATAAAAAAGCACACTGATACTATTGGAGGTTTTAGTAAGCGCCAGTGTCTTACCTGTATAGGAGTTTTATTGTTCTTTGAATTGGATATAGCTTTTTATTGCTTGTTAGTTCTGAAGATCGATAAAGTGCGTACATTCATACCTACTTTGTAGCAAGTAAGTTTTGACAGTCAAGGTTTTTCCCTTTATACGTCAAAGTGAAAGATTTTTGTGGATATTCAGAGAAACGGCTTCAATCATAGCAGCAAGTAAATGCTATGTGCACACTGCACAACATGATGAAAGTGGTAATAAAATTGCCTTCCACCTACTTACATTGTATGTAATATTGAAGAAAAATTAACGCTCCTCGTAGATTAAGATTTTAATTACGATAAGAACTTTTTCTTGTTCCTGTCTAATGAGCGTATACTTGGATTTAATTTTCTTGGATGCTACACTGGAATTTATAGGTCTTTATCACGTTATTCACGATCGGATCGGAGCTAGTGACGTATCGTCCTGGAATTTTCATCGTCTCCAGGAATTCGATTTACGGCCATATTCTAAAACTGCTGTTGACGTTGATGCGCAAGTAATAAACATTGTAAAGATCGTAAAACGTTTACCTGTTGATCCATTGGCTAGTTTTTGTTGGCTCCCATCACATTTCATTATTTTTTCACTCTCAAAAATAGCCACTGCAGTGTAATTAAGAACAAGGCGATGTAGAAGTCTGGTTTATTTTTATATTGCAAAAGTGCGTTTTTCCAAGGTGTCGTGTTTAGTGCTCTTGACCTATATTTTAGATGAAATTTTTGTTTACTGTGTTATGGTTGTCGTAAACTATTTTTGTCAGTATTTTAATTTACTGCACCTATTTACCTGTTCAGCATTGCCTAACATAATATAAAACGAATGAGTGTTCCGATAGAGAGTAATAAATACTGTTTCTACCAGTAATTGTCGTAATTTATACCTTTATCATAAAAACATTTATTAATAGACCTGTTTATTTACATTGAAAGTTACGAAGATTAGGTGGATAAGTGTTCGTCATGTAAAGTTTCAATTGTACCACAATTTATGCAATGTTTATGAGTCAATGCAAACGTCACCAATTGAACTGAATCATAACAAGACCTGTCTGCGACGACATAGTGAACGTTGTTAAATATTTCCACAAGTTATTGTACTGTCACCTTTATCGATGAATAGCGTGACTGCCCGCCTCAAAGAACGAATGCCATTTAATTTCAGCAATGGTGAACTTGCAATTTTAACTTTATGCAATTAACTTTTTGTCGTACTTTTTTGTGCATTCACGTGATACGGCGTCAGTTGCAGTTCTGATACAGCAATGGTTCCCAACAAGTAGTACAATAGTTGCCGAAGCCAGTATCTATCTTACTAATATTATAAATGCGAAAGTAACTCTGTCTGTCTGTCTCGCTTTCACGCCTAAACCACTGAACCGATTTTGATGAAATTTGGCATAGATATAGTTTGAGTCCCGGGAAAGGACATAGGATAGTTTTTATCCCGGTTTTTGAAACAGGGACGCCGCGATAAAGTTTTTCTTTGACAGACAAAATTTCCACGCGGGCGAAGCCGCGGGCCGAAAGCTAGTAAATAATATTTAAAATTTGCAGGTGGCAGCACCAAATGGAAATTTTTAATTGAAGTCTGTATTAAGATTGACTTGGTATTAATCTTGACTTGATCTTTTATTTTATAATTCGGTCGGTTAGTAAATTATTATTTCGAGATTTACATTATTGACAAAAAGTCGAATTGGTCGAGTAGAGTTTTCAGATTTGCAACACATTTTACTTTTTTTTTACGATGCACATAATAAATAATTCAATAATTATAAGCTCTTATTAATATTTCAACCGCTTCAATTTCACGTAATCATTTTAGTCTCTGCTATCGAAAAATCAAAGTGGTTGCAAACAAGAAAATATTGAAAACCACTGCAATAAAAACTGTCGCATTCGGAATTTGGATAAAACTGCACAAGTCACAGGCACGACAAGATAAAGCGGAATTCCAATTTATGACAGTGTCGTGTGCACACTGCACAGCACATCAAGCTAACATTGTGGCATCTTATGTAGTTGGAATAGGAGCTATTTTCCAACAAAAATGTATTTTGACTGATGTGCTGTCGATCGTACATTGCGCCTACACACAGCGCGTCCAACCTACAACTATTACTTGAGATATCTAAAACACTAAAAACTTTGAAACACCAACTACTGCTCCAATTAAAAAAATATATTTACATGTTTTTCTTTTTAATAAAGTAAATGCACTTTTTTACTTAAAATTACACACCAAATAGTCAATATGTATCGTCACGCAAATTTTATAACAAAAAATAGATGAGTTATCTTGTTACATGTGACAAATCACAAAATAACTTTCAGCGAGAATTATGATACACGAAAAATGAATTTACTGAAGTTTCGCTCGCGGTTGTTAGTTTTATAATTATAACTTAAATGTCATCATTTCAATTGATCAATTCACAAATCATCACAGTGCTTGAACAAGCTAATTAACCTTTAAATCATATGTTTTTGTTACATTTATTTTATAATTTGAAATAAAGTACAGCAGACAAAGAAAGTGAATTGAATATAATTTATGAGGGAACTTGGTTGTATGTTATTCAAGTATAAAATATACATGCTTACATGCCAGTTGCATGTCAGGTATCTAGTATGCTTATCAAGTATGTAATATAATCTTTTTTAGATACAACGTTTTTAAATGCTAAAAGTTAAGATGTATTTGCTTACTAAAATAAGCGACTGTTTTAAAAATACACACTAATATTTAACAGTTATTAATATCCCATTAAAAAGACCTAATCAATGTTTCTTAAACATTTTATTATGTTTACATTTTTATAAGCAAGCCTACAATTTATTCTAGCAAATGCAGTTGCAAATGTTATCCTTTTGCTTATGCGATGATGTCTGAATCTGAACGAAATTCAATGAAAATTTTATGGGCTATCTCCAAAATCCCTTTCCATTTTCTTGGAGTTTGTAGGTCAGTAAGACATTGTCTACTTTGCCAAAAGTAGCAGCGCTAATATATCTGGCAATAGACGTTTCTCGGAATACTCTCACCAGATTTCTTTTGTCTGGTGCAAAATGATCTGCAATTTCCTGTCTGAACTCACGGCAGCATTTGTCTGAGAGACCATTTATCTTCCATTTGTATTTTTTGCAATCATAGATCTCTGCTAATATAGACCAGGTACCAAATTGGCAATATGTTCGTCAGTATTGAACTACAGGCTTGAAATCATTAATCTCTTTGGAGACTCTCCACTTCAACCTTGTAAAAATGAAAGTATTTAATGGGTCATTCTAAGTTAAGAGGTAATGTGTTGTATGGAGCGACGGCACGGCATTTTTTTAAATATTTTTACTTAAGTATATATCTGTTTTATGGAAACCTTTAAGTTGAAAATGTTTACAAAGTGGCCAGTCAATTTGTTGGTTTTTTCTCGTTTTATAAGCGACCAGGGTAAATACTCAGTCCAGGGTAGAGACAAGGGGCACAGGGGAGGAAACATTATGGACAGGGAAGAGACATAGACATACTAAAAACAGTGTTATTTTAAGGAATCAACTTTATTTATTTATTTTAATTTTAATTATGAATTATTTATAATAAGACTTTTCATTTTTTAGCAAACTTTGTTAACAAAAATGTATTTTAAGCCTAGGTACAAAACATAAAAAGGTTCTTACTTTTACTTTCCATTAAAACAATTATCAATAGTCAATAACGAAATAAAAAGAAACAAAAACTTCTCTGAAACAGTATTGAACTTTTCTTGTACTTAAACAACCATTTGAATTGAGAATTTGAGAGGTAACTAAAAAAAATCTTTATGTAATACCTGCGTTCAAAGACATCAATAGATTCATTAAAGCATAAAAAAATGCTGCCCTCTCAATTTTAACTTAGGGTAGGGTAGTTTATTTAAAACCTAATCCCAGGAGATTAAAGAAACATCATCATCAATTATCTTAATCAATGTATGATGATTGATCATTATTATTTTCAGCCATAGGACGTCCACTGCTGAAAATCGGGTTCCCCCAATGATTTCCACAATGGCCGGTTGGTGGCGGCCTGCATCCAGCCCTTTCCTGCTACCCTTATGAGGTCCTCGGTCCACCTTGTGGGTGGACGTCCTACGGTACGAGGTCTCCACTCCAGAACCTTGCTGCCCCATCGGCCGTTAGTTATGCGTGTTATGTGTCATGGCCTTTGCCACTTCAAGTTGCTTGATTGAAAGACTTTTGTCTATAGGCACTGAGGTATTTTGGACGAAAAGATTTTGCGTAGTTTCCTTCACAGAAACAGTGACTTTAGCAGGTGTTTATGGATAATCCAAAGTAGGTACCCAATTCAAAATGATGACATAACTTTGGAGTCACAGAAGCATCTCAAACTTTTTATAATGTCAGCCAATTAGGTAAAAATACGCAACCGGTAACATGGTGAACCTTTACTGTGCCTAAAAAAGTCTTTATACCTTCAGTAGAACCTAATGTTGCTGCTTTTTCCGATAGTATGTCTACGGTATATCTACGGTGAAAGTTTTCATATTCGGGCAGGTTTTCTCAAGCGCTTTAGCTTTCTAGATGCCATTTTTTCTGTAAAAAAGTAATATTAAATTGTAAAGCTAAGATATACATAATGCCAAGTAAAGGTTCAGAGAAAAATATAGAAGTATTCATGAAAACGCATACAAATGTATCTTCCCTGGACATTAAGAATCTCCCCTGCCATCAAAAAAGCCAGGGGAAATACGCCAGGGGAGATACATTTTCGATCAATATCTAAAATAGCCGTAAAAGTGTTTCTCGTACGCAATTCACAACCAAACGTAACAATGTATGCACTATTCATAGTAAATATTGAAGTTTACATTAGTATTTTAACAAATAATTGCTAAATAAAACTTACCAGAGGAAAGACTGCATTCACTCAACACTTCTACACCCAGCGAAGCGGCGTGATTGAAATGGCGGTTAAAATGACTTCGCAGTCGGCTTATGCGCCTCTTGTTGATAGCTTCACGTTACATCCTATGCACTAAAGGCCACAACTTCCACAAAATAGTAAAACAAAACTGATTTTTAAACAAAAACAAAAAGCCAGGGGACGAGACACAAAATACGGAGGACAAATTTCGGCATTGATATTATTTATGAAAAATTTGAATTTATGTAATTTGACTTATAAGACAGTGTTCCTAAGTTATTGTTCTGTATAAAATTAATGATGATGAAGTAATTATTTAATTTTAATACATTCATAATAACTGGTTTACAAATAAAGTCGGGTTTGGGACAGCCCAGGGGAGTGACTTTTTTCTTGTATTAGAACTTATTGTGACTAAACTGTGTACATTTCTGTAATAAAATTAAGTGAGCATGTAGAAGACACTTAGTTTTAAGCAATAAATAGGTTAATTAGGTAGTTAGACTAAAAAAAATGTACTTTTTTGCCCTTGCCATCGAAAGTACCTCTTAACTTAGAATGACCCTAATCTCAAACTACAGAAAGATTAATACTGTGATGTAATGCGAATGTTATATCAGCCGTTTTGGTTATCTCGATTACATTGTTGCGATTACAGGGCGGGGCTCGGGAATTTTATTGGTCAACGACCTCTCGGCCAAAATCTAACTTTCTAACGAGATTAAAGTTTGTTACACTGCACGAGTGCAAAATGACGCGCAGTCGGAATGCAACCGCGGCCGGCGCCGAGCGGATAATTGCAACGGTCACAGCTAATCATTATATCCGATGCGAAATAACTAAAATGCCTACTTTGTCGAGATGCGTTTATATCTGGCTGTTTTTCTTTATCTACATTATCGTCTAGATAACCTCTGCCTTTAATGATGTTATCAAGATAATGAAGTGGCGATTGAAAAACATTTAAGTCACAATTGACCGTTAATGTCACTGATTCATTGAATCGTTTTACTGAACGTGTGCAATTATGTTCTTGCTGAGCTAGAGATCGCAAGGGCAGACGGGCTTTCACCGTCTTGTCTCGCGGATCGCGTGATGCGATTTGAAAATTGTTTCTGCTGCTTTTGAGTTAAGGTGGTATTTCGATTGTCCGCTGATCGCTTCCTAACTTTCTGCCGCTGTCGCGCGGAGGAGTTATTGATTTGGCTCTCAATATAACATGCCTTTGTACATTACGCTTTATGCTCTAGTGTCAGGGTCTATTTATGCTCGCTCAATCAGGTGTATAGCGTGCAATCGTGAGGAACTATGTGCCGACGTCGCAGCATAAAGAGGATTAGCCCAATTCTGTAGACTGTTTTCACGATGTCGGCTAGCCAGCTGGTAATCCTTTTAGCGTATGAAAGTGAACTGTACACCGTAGGTCGAGGTCTTCCACTCCATCGAGATCAGTTGTATTTAAATAAACCGGTTGCAATAAGTATTGTCTGAATATGACCAGAACTGACATCTTGATAGTATGTTCGCCCTCATATATCTCTTGCCGAAGCTTGTTATAAAATTCAAACTGAAAACATTTTTTTCCTAAAGATATCAATGATGATAAATAAAAAATGCATTAACGTCAATCTCAATTTCTCAAGTCATAATTTTACAGTAAAGTCTTAACTTTACAGACACGCTTGATAACTTGGGGACTTAAAATCACGTTGGCATCACTGCCAACCACTGTCTACCTTGAAAGGAGTTGCCGAAAAAAAGAAACAAATAACCTCATTCTCATCAACTGTATTATTATACATGCAAATGTATGTATAATAAGCAACAAACATGAGATCACAATAACTGATAATAAACTGGTACAGTCATAGTACAATACCATTTATCGAACACGCATTTATCAGTTACCTAAAGATTTATTGAAATTTCTTCGTCCAAAAAGTCGAGCTAGGAAGAAATCACTTGGGAAGCGGAAGTTTATTTATCAAATAGTTTTGTCAGGTCCGCACCGCCCGCTTCCGGCGCTACCAATGCCGTATCTGTTAAACATTCGACGTATTCGATATTATCGCGACGCTCGAAATAGCCTTTATCTCGTCCGCGGAGAGGTCAGTGGGCGCAGCGACACACGCCTCATCATTAACAGCTCCGATTAAAACCCTTCTAATAGATACATTAACGATGTTTCTCGTATCGTAATTCGTAATTACGCTTCATCCTTTTGAAACTCATTCATTGATAGCTTCGTTAGCTGATGGGGATGATTTTGTCCGTTTCTTCCTTTTTCTAGCTGTTATTTCAAATTGCGTTTTCTTCAATCACTGACATTGGCACCATCATCAATTTTAACTTCGTTGTAAGTTAACTCAAATGCCGAGATGCAATGAGTGAACTAACTACAATGTGTAGCTTTATAACATTTCTTGAATCTGACCGACTTTCCAATTCTCTATTAAGTTTTCTTTTTATTTTTCTCTTATAATGTTCCTCGTTTCAATCATTGATAATTTCGTATTAATAATCTGCTTCAACATTTATTGTAGGCTGTTAACCTAGCATTCAACTAAAGTACTACATCGAACCGGTTCCGTTTTCAGGTGCTACTTAAATTTACAGCTGCTTAGTCCCATTGGTCTTGAACGAGAAGTTTATTGTCCCCATAAACTTGATCAAGGCTATGAATGCATGCCTGGGCACTATATCTGTTTATGTATAGGTATAGGTAATCAGTGACCTGGGTGGGTCCGGGGAATGCAATAAATAAAACAGTTTATGCAGTTGACCCCTTAGATCTTCCTCTATAGTATGGCTAACTGAGTGAACAAACCCTATGTGAGATTTTGTCCCCAAATCCCTAATAGACACCTGACATGTCTCAAATTGTCCGACAGCTTAACGAGCTCTCCGAAGCACGTAATCATTCTTATTTCTTTTTAGATAACAAGTTCAAGTATCTTACTTTTAACTAAGCTGATAACAAATTACACCTAATAATAACAATTTATGTGAACCACCTGAGAACTAAACCCAGTACAGCTGGGGATTGAGAGTCCAGTGGAAAGAGTCAACTGGAATTCAAAGGGCTACCCTTTGATGATTTCATTAAACTTGGCAGTCGGACCAACAGAAAATCCATACAAAATCATGACCTTATTATACCTACGCGTACAGGAGAGTAGTTTTCCATTAGAAATTTTCTCAATTCCGTTCGGAAATTTCCCCGATTCTTCGAAAACCTCTGTACATGTAGGTATGTGTTATAGTTCCATGATTTTGTACGGTTTGACTGTTCGGAACTCTGAACAAAAATCAGAATAATTTAATTATGTTGTGAACTTGTGGTAGATTGTCGATCATAAGCAGTTGTTTTACTAATGCTAAGCGAAAATTGTCTTTTTATTTTATTTTGCTTTTTACGTCACAGAGCGATTTTAAAATATCACTTAAATATCGCGTTTCCATGATTTTCAACCGACTTCAAAAAAAGGAGGAGGTTCTCAATTCGACCCGTATGTTTTTTTTTTTTTTTTNGGAAAACCTAGGAGAGTCTTTATGGGCAACTAATGAAGCCATTAAAGCACTAAAATCTTTAGTAGGAATTATTTCCGATTTAATTCATTTTTGTGTTTAATTCTACTGGCCTATTATAATAAAATGATATTGCTTATTTATGGAATTGGTTACGTGTATACAGATAGAATAACCGATTTAAATCCGGGTTTCGATTTTTAAAACCGGTTTTAGAATTCGTCGAAAAAGGGCGGTTTTTCCAATTTTTCGGTTTCCGATTAACCGGTTTTGCATTCCCTAATTGTAGGCTGTTTGTAGCATTCAACTTAAGTACTATATCGAACCGGTTCCGTTTTCAGGTGCTACATAAATTTACAGCTGCTTAGTCCCATAGGTCTTGAACGAGAAGTTTATTGTCCCCATAAAGTTGATCAAGGCTATGAATGCAAGCCTGGGCACTATATCTGTTTATGTATAGGTAATCAGTGACCTGGGTGGGTCCGGGGAATGCAATAAATAAAACAGTTTATGCAGTTGACCCCCTAGATCTTCCTCTGTAGTATGAGCAACTGAGGGAACAAACCCTATGTCAGATTTTATCCCCAAATCCCCAATAGGCATCAGACATGTCTCAAATTGACCGACAGCTTAACGAGCTCTCCGAAGCACGTAATCATTCTTATTTCTTTTTAGATAACAAGTTGAAGTATCTTATTTTTAACTAAGCTGATAACAAATTACACCTAATAATAATAATTTATGTGAACCACCTGAGAACTAAACCCAGTAGATAATATTTTAAACTATTATGTTGCATTTTTACTATAAAATTAATACTATAAAATATTGTTGCAATAAATCCCGTGAAGTGATAATTTTAAACCCAGTAGAGCTGGGGATTGAGAGTCCAGTGGAAAGAGTCAACTGGAACTCAAAGGGCTACCCTTTGATGATTTGATTAAACTTGGCAGTCGGACCAATAGAAAATCCATACAAAATCATGACCTTATTATACCTACGCGTACAGGAGAGAAGTTTTCCATTAGAAATATTCTCAATTCCGTTCGGAAATTTACCCGATTTTTCAAAAACCTCTGTACATGTAGGTATGTGTTATAGTTTCATGATTTTGTACGGTTTGACTGTTCGGAACTCTGAACAAAAATCAGAATAATATAATTATGTTGTGAACTTGTGGTGGATTGTCGATCATAAGCAGTTGTTTTACTAATGCTAAGCGAGAATTGTCTTTTTATTTTATTTTGCTTTTTACGTCACAGAGCGTTTTTAAAATATCACTTAAATATCGCGTTTCCATGATTTTAATGAATGTTTTAATGAGTTCAGACTTCAGCACAAACACATTAAACTACACAATTTCTAGGAAGCACTCCAGTTTGAAGAACGGCAAATAATCCGACATTTAACTAGCTATTAATATAACTTTTGTGTGCATAAAACTGCGATTAAGGAACTTTTAATTATTATCATATTTTGTTACTTATTGCAACTTAATGTTTAACTAAGTACATCACATTTGTATCCAAAAGTAATATTTATCGTTTATAATATGATTGATTGAGGTCTAACAGTCAAGCAATTTGTTATACTTTCAATTTTATAGTCTGTAATTATTCTTCAAGTCTGAAACTTTCTCTTTTACAATTTTGATTTGGTGCCGCGATATTTGGATATTCAATAGGTGTGTTACATAAGGTCGTAAAATGTATTGATGTAATGTCCAACTTGTATTACTATCATTGATCGGTCAGACAGATGTAAAGCATTACCTATGTTTATTCTACCGTGTTGAGTCATGAACACGACTCTAGATTGAACGTTTGTTGCTTTTATATCATACAAAATGGTCTGAAAATAATACTATGCGAATGATCATTATTATGCTGATATAAATATTTTTTTCAGAATATGTTAATGTCATTCT